AACTGCTGGGCCACCATCCACCAAGTACGCTACTTAACTGCTTTGAGCCTCGGTACAGGCATCTGTGAAATGTCACTGACTATGTCATCCTCACAAATTTGATTGAGGATTAAAGGAGATGAAGTATGTAAAGCCTAAATATTATACTTAGGGCATCATAGAAGCTTGATACATGTTAGTTTCTTTTCTCCAGCCTGCAGCACTAATGCAAGGAGACCATGGCACATGCAATGAACACGCTGTGTAAAATGTACTTCGACTGAGATCACTATAAATTAGGAGAGTATGAAGAATAAGAAGAATCAGGTTAGATTTCAAAGGAGCAGATAATGCCTTACTGTGATGTTTATTGCATAAGGGAATATATTACTATAGGTTTACTGCATTTGGGAATATATTACCATAGGTGGCTATTGAAGAAAATGACATGGTTTCTGAACTCCGTTATAACTTTAAACTCTGTCCAGCTCTCAAGTGTAATAAAAAGAGCCTGTTTAGCTATTCATCTGCCTTTAAAGGCATAAGCAGTATAATTTACAAGAAATCATTACAATACAAATCTGTTTTGTTCTACTGCTTGCATTAATTTTACAAAAAATTTCAGCACATTGCAAGTGTAGGAGCAGCACTGATTATCTGCATATGAATACAGGTGAAATAGGAACTCTCTTTGTAAGAATGACCAACCTTTCCTTCATCCAGTGAACAAATAATACAGGAAGGCTAATTTTCTAACTTGGAGATGGGGTTATTGACACTTTGGCTGATTTTATATAGTTGCAAGGCTATTTGTGTGATGTCATAATCTAATGAAACTTCTGAGGCTATCATGCAAAAGATACCTCAGAATCTTTTGGTAGATTGGTAGTAGCTTTCTGAAGTTGTGAGTTGAGAAGGATTTCTAAGGCCATGTCTAGGTTCACCAGGAAAGAAAGCTGTAATTGACTACCTATGTCTTTAGGTCCGCTCTGCGTAGGAAGCGGAATGAGTAAAGGCCTGTATCAATGTATTTGTTACATAAGTGTTCCATATTTTATAGCTGTTGTAGTTACTACTGCTATTATGACAAAGGTGTTTTTATATTCCTCTTCAAATTTCTACGTCTTCAACACAAAATGGAATCAATTAACTGCTTTGGTCACAATAGCTTGTGTATATCTTTTTTATTGACTTGATGGTAAATGTGTTTATCTGCAGAAGAGAGCTAAAAAATGAAATCAGAATTTGCCCTTCCTAATTTTATTATATTAAATACTTAAGAAAATTAAGGGGGAAAATCTGATACAGTTACTTAGTGCAGGGTGGGGGTTAAAGGAAAAAAAATCCCCTTTAAAATATTCACACAAGGGAGAAGATACAGCATGTTTTGCACTTAGATGATCCATGACTTTCCTGACTTTTTTCCTGTTTTTTCTCTGAGGCCAGATTTCTTTTCTGGGTAAATAGTCATGTTCCTGTCAGCCATAGGGGATTTTCTGAATCCTAAACAGCTGATTTTGTATTCCTGCCCCATTCCCTTTATTTGAGTACTAAAATCTGACCAAACCCATATTTTTAAATTTATGTATTTATAGACATATGGAAGAATAGTTTATAGTCTGAGTATGATTTTTTTTCCATCGCAAATGTAGGAAAATTGTGGGGAGTTTTAAAACAGGGCCTTATCAATTTTTTTTTTTCCTTATTACTGATGACTTCATCCTGCTTGAATTCAGTGCTTCAGTTTCTTTGGGTAAACTAATAGATTATGTATGCAGTGTTTTCACCGTGTTGATTGAACTCATCTGGTGAGTTAGAGCATGGCTCACACATTCACATCCTCGGCAAAGCCTGTGCACTGCACGCGGGCATGGGAGTCAGCTCACCGTACTCCCGAGGAAGGGAAGCTGGTCCACCTAGAGCTGTCCCACCTTGCCTGCCTTCCCATTGTCCAGAAAAGCATATCAGACTTTCCTTTTTGTTATTATTATTGTCTTTTTCAAATATTCAAAACCTTAAGTTTTTTTGTTTTTTGGTTTTTTTTTATTTGAGATGACACACGATGTTACTTTAGTTTCAGGTGTACACCATAGTGATCCAGCAGTTCTTTTATGCTTTGCTGCGCTCCCCACAAGGGTAGCAGCCATCTGTCGTCACCACACAATACGGTTCCGATACCACTGACTCTATTCCCTACACTCTACCTTTCATCCCCGTGACTCACTCATTCCAGAACTGGATGCCTGTACCTAAGGGTTTGTCTTTTCTTAATAAAAAGCCTCGGCTACTGGGTGACTGTAGAGCGATGTAGGAAGCCCAGAGCCCCGTGCTAACTTCATAGACATGTTGTAAGACATTAACGATTAACTTTGAATCCAGTTTGGGAGGAATGCTTTTCTGCCAAAAGATGTCCACTCACCATTTTCTTTTTATAGTTTATAAGTATCATCTCAAAAAATTTTTTTAACGGGGCACCTGGGTGGCTCAGTCGAATGAGCTTCCAGACTTCAGCTCAGGTCATGATCTCACGGTTCATGGGTTCGAGCCCCGCGTCGGGCTCTGTGCTGACAGCTAGCTCGGAGCCTGGAGCCTGCTTCAGATTCTGTGCCTCCTCTCTCTGACCCTCCCCTGCTCACACTATCTCTCTCTCTCAGAAATAAATTTTAAAAAAAATTTTCTTTATTTTTTTAAACAGAATACTAGATGACTTCTGTTGCTTTCGGACATCTCCTTTAACGAGATGTCTCATTTAAACTTAAAACTGCACCGTAATATGTGGGGACCGTCCGGCATGCACAGCTCTTCACAGTGGGTGCCTTCCTCCCTCCCCCTCCCTCCCATATTTCTGTACACTAAAGTGGGGATCCTCACAGACCCATCAGACACAAGTGTCCTTATGGTTTACAAGTTGCGCTCCGGGAATTTTTGGGCTCAGCGAGGCGCTTGGGGTTCAGCCGCTCCTCACCCGCACGCGGCCTGCTGGGGCCTCGGCCACCTCCTAGACGCGGGGGGATCCACAGCAGGCGCCTGTCCAGCCCTCTGATCCCGGAGGGTCCAGCGACGCCCCCTTTTACCGGGGCGACAGTGCCTGCGCCCTGCCCTGCGCTGGTGGCCCCATCGTGGACGACGCTTGCTTCCCCGCCCCCCTCGCTCAGCCCCCGCGCGGCCGCCCTGGGCGTCTCTGGCAGCGGGTGTGGACCCGGCCTCCTCTGGCCGGAGGGTCCCGGGGGACAGACGCGCGGGGGTCTCCTGCCCCGCGGGATGGCGGCTTCCGGGGGAAGGAGGGCCGCCAGCGGGTCTCCAGGGCACCCCCGGGCCGCGCCCTCTGCGCCCTCAGCAAGCCAGGCCCAGAAGCAAGGGGTTCAGGGGCGCTGGAGGACGCGGCACCGCTCACACCGAGGACCTGACACCCCAGGGAGAGCTGTCGAGCGCGGGAACCGGCCACCCCGAGGTGGGAGCCGGGTCGGTGACCGCGGTCTCCGACGGCCACACCGCCGGGGGCGCGCTGCGTGAACGCGGGCGTGCAGCGCATGCGGGGGCCCCTTCCCCCGAGTCTTGTGGGCACGTTCACTTTCAAGGGAACTGACTTCGAACGTGTGACACCTCGGTTTGCAGACTCCGCACTTAAAGTACCAAACTTTGCAAGTGATATACTTCTGTCATTTATTAGAGTAAATTCAAATTGTCCCTAAAGTCACCAGTACTCGTTTTTATTCTACCTTGCTTCCTAAAGAGAAAGGGAGAGGAGCATGTACTGCCTGCCATGTGTGTGAGCCAGGACACAAGAAGTTGAGGATCCCTCCTGGCCCAAACTGACTTCTCTGCACTCCCCCAAAGCAAGAAGCTTCCTCATTTCTGTCCTTGCATTTCCCTTCCCTCTACCTGCAATTTCCCCATGTCCCGTGTATAGCTGTTGAGCACCTGTGTGTCCCTCAAGACTCAGCTAAGGTGTTACCTCCTCTGTGGAGCTTTCCATAGGCTTCTTCCGTGGCCATAACCTTCCCCAGTCAGTTTAAGCAGCCTTTGTCACCACAGTCCCTTTTTAGACTGCCGTTACAGAACCTGGAGGGTAGTCTTCTGTATCCTTTTCAGCCCCCTGCCTCCCAGACCAGTGTTTTTTTGCACACAAGGACTGTGAACTGTTTGTTTTCACTTCCCCTCGGATCTTAACATAAGGTCTGGCACAATAGGACACTCAGTTATACCTCAGATGAACCAGAGAAGTTGAACAATTGTTGAAATCTGCCTACCATTCTCCTCTTGCTTCCCAGCCCTGAAATGCATCACATGATGTTGCTTCTGTTGAAACAATCATGACAAATGCAAGCTAAAAGGGAGCTACTGGCTGAGCAATTTGGAGTTGCATGGATCACACACTGGGGGAATGGTAATTCCTAAGAGAAAGAAGTGACTAGAGGGAGGAATTCTGGACAAATGATGAAGACGGCAGTCTACTGTCACCGATTTTGGTTTTGTTTTTTTTTTCTTTTTACTTCCTGATATGGCTCCCACCCTCTCTGCCTTCCCTATGACCTATGTGCCCATATACTTACACGGATCCTACCCCGCCCCCTCCAAAAATTCATCAGTGCCATTGAAATGAAGACTGGTACATGCCAACTCTGTGTCACATCCAATCTTCAGGTCAAACAACTGGTCTCAAATTGGCAACTTCTGATTTGAGAAAATGAAATACCTACATTAAAATTAACCAAACTCTGTGGGTATGATTATAAGAAAAAAGTGATAACTCTTTTAACTGCTCTTAAGGTCAGGACCTTATCTTACCTTTTTCACTCAAAACATCCCAGGTCAGATGTTTTGACCCTTAGAGCTAAATGTATTTACATAAAGACCATTTTTGTTCACTTTTATTACTGATTTTACAGTTTTTCTAGCATATTTGATTCACATGATTGAATCTTCTAAATTTGGATGTCAGCTCCTTTACTATGATCAAAATTTAAGTGTCCAGGATGATGTATACCAGGTGACCGTGTTTGTTTGATTATGTCCTGTAGTGGCCGTCCTGCAAGTGGAAGCACTGATCGCATCCAGAAGTTACGGAAAGAGTATTATCAGGCACGGAGGGAAGGTTTCACCTTATATGAGGACGACGAGGGAAGAGCAAGGCTAGATTATGACTTTCACTGGGTAAGCCCATGCCTGATTCCAATCATTGAATTCATCTTAACTGAGATCATTGTAAGCAGAAGAACACGGCTAAGAATGTTCTATCCCTATCAAGTTATATTTAGGTTACTTGAGTTTAACAGATATGAACATTACCCAAACCACAGCCATCTTGTCCCACAGAAGTTGTTTATATAAATCAAACCACACTAATGCATAGTAGTTTATTTTAATTGCTTTCATATTTACTCTCTGTTGGACTTGTATACCAATGTGTTAGGGTGGAGCAGATGGTCGATATTTTAAAGAAGACAAGGAATCTTTGTCATCATCTACTGAGCCTTAATCTTTGCCTTCCATCTCTTGGTTTTCAGACATCTGAGCAAGCATTGACAGACCATGTAACATAAGCCATCTTTCCTTTGGAAAAGGTTATTGGACATAAATTTCAGAATGGTTCTCTTCAGAGATAGCAGTTGTCTGTATATAGCATTGGAACAATTCATTTTACTGATCGCTAAGATAATTTTATTTTGAGATAAGAACAGTCTTTGCATTAGACGGTTCTCTTTACCAAATCCTTCAGCATTTGCAGACAGAAAAGAATATTGTGTCCTCTGAGGAGAGATCCTGTGGGTTTTTCCAGGATAGCACAATTCATTCTCATGTCTTTTTCAAGAAGGCAAGGCTGTACTGACAAAATACACTTAACTTTTGAGCATCCACAAAAATACCAGAGGAGAGTACTTAGAGATGGATTAAAGTACATGTCACATACCCGGAATAGTGCCTGCCACTGAGTTGGGGTTCAATAAATCTTGGCTCTCGTTATCAGCGTTATTGGAGCAGAGCTGTACGTGGTATTAGTGATGTCCTTGTGCTGATGTCAGCTCTCACTCACCCTATTTGATGGTTACTGCCTTCTACTACAGTTTTTAGTGCTGTTTTGAGAACCACATAAGGAACTCTTTTATCCCCGGTGGCCACTAAAGACACCAGCTCTTTTGAAGGACAAATCTATTAAAGGCAAGTTTCCTCTCCCGACTTGCACACTCATACTTATGCTCACGAGGTTGGGGTTGGGAGCGTAGAGACCAGACACCAAGCAGGTTCCTTCTGTCTTTCACACCGGTGCCATGGCACCTTGGGCGTAGCACCTTGAACTTTTACACTAGCCTCGGAAAGTCAGCTGCAGCACCCACCCCTGTTGTGCAGAGCAACTGAAACTCCTCGGCCCAGTGGCTTCTCCTTGTAGGACAGAGTTTAAAAACACTATTTGGAAATGCAAATTAAGGACTGGCAGTCCCCTACCAAATGGCTTTGGCCTATCTCTGGATAGGCACTTTGTAGCTATAGGTCAAAACAAATAGCTTTTTATTGGTTTTATTACAGATGTTAGGATTCAAAAGAATGACATTTGCAGAGATGGGGCAACTGGACACTTAGACTCTCACTAACAGAAGAGAAAGATCTCCACAAAATGACAATTTAGATAATAATTCACTTCATTTCAGACTTCATTGAGATCAACATATTAACTCTGATGACAGACTGTATACATAAGGCTCTGCTCCCTTGAACAAAAAAATAAGCAATAAAATAAGGGAAGTCGTTTCCACCATAACCAGAACAGAACACCATGGCCAGGGCATTGAAAAGCCCTCCATCTCGACACTACTGTGAATTCCTATGAGGAAAATAAGAAAAGTAATTTTAGACTAAGAAGTTCTGGTTGTTTTGACCTTACTTTATAGGATCTCTTTACGTCAAGCCGAAAGGCTGAAGATGCTTAACCTTCATGAGACCTGAAGTTTCCCTTGACCTTTACCAATCCTGAAATGGATAACCACCCACTCAGGTCCTCTCTATCTTAGTGATTCTATTTTTATTCCAAGCAAATGTGGAATTAGACAATCTAGTGAGTAAAGAAGTATCTCTTGTTTAATTCGTGTTTCCCATGCTCAAGTGTATTGAGCTTTGCCAAAAGTGACTGATTTTATGTTTCCCAGGCAAGTGGGGACTAAGGCTTCCCAAAGGGAAGCTTGCAAAATGAACTCTCATAAAAGACTCATGCTCTTTGTGATCGCCTGCGATACTCCAAACCAGGGATTCAAATCTCAGCATCTTTTCCCCACCATCTCCCAAGGAAAAACACTGGTATCTTTTGTCCAGCGCAGGCCTGAAAAATTACACTGTTGTCTTGCTATTTTGGGGTAGATCTAGGAAAGCAAGTTTAGAAGGTTAACATTTCATTCCTGCCAGTCAGCCAGACCTGGCAAGGCAGCTTTTATTCAGGCTGTGGTTCCTAATCAGTCTGGTCTTTAGCATCATGGAGGGGGTGTGTTCAAATTGGATCACCAGCCCCTATAGAGAAGGACAGGTCCTAAGAGAGGGCTCCTGGGTGCTTCTTCATGTGGTCATCAGGGTTTCCAACCCACAATTCTAAAAATAGGACATTGATCCCAATCACTGCATTAAGCACAGTAGTTCACCTTCTCTAACAAAAGCATTACGTGGACCAGCATCATCAAAAACCACTTTCATGGACTCAGAACTTCCCAGGCCAGATACCTCAGATTTAGAAGCCGGATAAATTTTCCCCAGATCCACACAATACTGGAAAGCTTCTAGACTGTTGAGAAGGGAATTAGGAAGGTAAGTTACCTAAGAACTAAATAGACCAGAAAGAATAAATAAAGTTCCCTAAAATCAAATACAGAAAAAAATAAATTGAGTCACCTAAGAGCTTACTAGACCAGAAAGAATAAAAGTTTGCACACAGAAGTCTTCAAAGCCAGAATTAGTAAAGCAATCACTGGAAAGGTTATTAGGATCCATGAATTATTTTTTAACATAGTGTTGTCAGTGGGACTAAGAATTCTTTCTTTGGCTTGCCTCGAACTTTCTGATTTTCCCAGGCTATCCCTATGGGTAGTTCCCGGTCCAGTGGCTTGGAGCTGAAGGTTTCCCCACTGCTGTCTTGAGTCCTCACTTGCTCCCATGGTATTTGCATCTCCCTGTCTTTTCTCTCTGTCTCTCATCCAATTTTAACAAATATTTGCTCCGTCTTAATGTAGGCTAGGTGCCAGTCCCAGAATGTATCATCTCTACCTTGGAGGAACTTACAGTCTAGCCAGGAATCTACGGCAAAACCAAAAAAGGACAATTGTATATGTGAGAAATTCTGTAGTATAGAAAGCTATTCACTTCAAAATGAGCTCAGTGATAGCAGTTAATTCTGCTGGAGGCCGAGTGTGCAGTCAGGGGTGTGGGAATTCTATAGAGATCATTTAGGAGTTGCCTCAGTGGACATATTTGGTCCTTTTTGTCTCAAATTTGGTGGTTTTCTTTTTCCCAAAGGAGATCCTGATTTATCCACTTCATTTGTGTTAAAATAAATGAACACACACAGATTGCAAGGTTTGTAAATATGGACATGAGACCTTACAAATCTTTTCAGCCAGTCTGTTCTGTAGCTGTTTTCCCATGAAGGCTCTGAAAAGCTGTAAAGAACAAGTTGAGAGAATTTCAATGACTGGAAGTGAAACGGCCTGGCGAGGTTTTATAGGCCCAATTAAGTAAGATATGTTAGCTGTGACGTGTTCATATTTGCCAAAAGAAAACATAATACCTGTTATCTCCTGGTATTTTATTTTCTGTAAAACTTGTTAAGACGAACACATTCCTCTGGCAACAAGCTGTGGTATTTTTTATTAACAGATAAAGATTATCTGCTTATTTAATGGCAGCATGAATACCCTGTAAGTAATTTCAGAAATGGGATGGCTCCAGAGTTTTCTAAAAATATTAGTACCTTTATTACTGTCTTTTTTCAGGAGCTGCATAGCAAATACTATACACATCCTCCTCTTTTCTTTTTTTTTTTGTTTCTGATTATTTTTTGCTTTCTTGCAAGTTTAGCAATTGATTTGAAATATGTGACTTTGGTTTTTTTATTTTTTAATTTTTAATAGTTGATTGTCAAGTTGGTTTCCATATAACACCCAGTGCTCATCCCCACAAGTGCCCTCCTCCATGCCCATCTCCCCCCTCCTTCCCCACACCCATCAGCCCTCAGTTTGTTCTCAGCATTCAAGAGTCTCTCATGGTTTGCCTCCCTCCCTCTCCCCCACTATTTCCCCCCTTCTTCTCCCCCATGGTCCTCTGTTAAGTTCCTCCTAATCCTCCTATACGTGCAAACATATGGTATCTCTCCCTCTCTGCCTGGCTTATTTCGCTCAGCATAACACCCTCAAGGTCCATCCATGTTGCTACACATGGCCAGATTTCATTGTTTCTCATTGCCATGTAGTATTCCATCGTATAGATAAACCATAGCATTCTTCTCAAAACTAGAACAAACTATCCTAAAATTTGTATGGAACCACAAAAGACCCCGAATAGCCAAAGTAATACGGAAGAATAAAACCAAAACGGGAAGGATCACCATCCTGGACTTTAGCCTCTACTACAAAGCTGTCATCATCAAGACAGTATGGTATTGGCACAAAAACAGACACATAGACCAATGGAATAGAATAGAGAACTCAGAATTGGACCCAAAAACGTACAGCCAACTAATCTTTGAGGACACTCAAAGCAGGAAAGAGTGTCCAATGGAAAAAAGACCGTCTCTTTAACAGATGGTGCTGGGAGAACTGGACAGCAACATGCAGAAGAATGAAACTAGATCATTTTCTCACACCATACACCAAAAATAAACTCAAAATGGATAAAGGACCTGAATATGAGACAGGAAACCATCAAAACCCTAGAGGAGAAAGCAGGAAACAACCTCCTTGACCTCCACTGCAGCAATTTCTTACTTGACACATCCCCAAAAGCAAAAGAATCAAGAGCAAAAATAAACTGTTGGGACCTCATCAAGATTAAAAGCTTCTGCACGGCAAAGGAAACAATCCATAAAACTAGGCAACCTATGGAATGGGAAAAGATAGTTGCAAATGACATATCAGATAAAGGGCTAGTATTCAAAATTTATAAGGAACTCACCAAACTCC